AGGAATATTATGGCATAAAAGACTTCAGCAACTCCCCAAAAGTAACAACGAGTTTAATAAATAATTGAAACCCTAATATAAGGATGTAATACTCGTATTCGTGTGTATGTATGCATTCGTATGAAAGCACATTAATACCAAAAGTAAAAAAAAGGAGACTCGAAAATAATTTGTCGCACAGAAAGGGCAGTGACGGTGAAACGCTCAGCTTAAAATATAATTCTCACAAATACTTATAAATGTGTGACAACAAAAAATAGCTGTGCTTATTAGAGTTTTCCAAAACCTTTGTCAATAAGCATAACTATTCAAATGTATATATGTAAATACCAAGTTGACATGGTTCACCAACTCCTGCCCGCAGCTACCAAGCCGAAAATCAGAATACAAGTATATAAAAACGATGCGGTGATAACATTGTATCTACTGAGTTATCATACCGGTGTCAACGCCATGACATCACCATTCCACTCAGCAGCCAGCAGCTCACCACCACTCTCGGTCCACCGCTCATCACCAACATTGACACTGCTGACATTCTAGTCGACGTCACAGCAACCAACGAACCAACCAAACAACGACCTAACTGCCAACCCGACACTCCTTCGCTATCATATGATGCCATCATTACCCGTTATTCGTAGTCCGCGCGCTGATAACAATGACAGCGTCACAATGCATGGATAGAGCAAGCCATACCCACGGCTGAACTGACACAATGAGCGCTCCAATAAGTATATGGAAAAGCTACAAATTTCTGAGTTTATGTCCCAATGTATGTAGTATATGTTTAGTTATATATATGTATGTATGTATTTGTATAAGTTGGTAACAATAAAGTTTGTACGAATGTCGCTCTCAGAGGCCAGACGCGGCAGGGAGACAAAAGGTTGATAATAGCGAGCAAATAGCTTAGTGTTTCCCCTTTTTACGTTATTGTATTCGCCAGCACAATTGATAATGAGGAAGTGGAGGAAATTGATTTTCTGCTGCACTTGAAATTGTTTTCTTGCACTGAAGTTCTTCTATTCAATTTTTATTCCATCTCACAAAGGCGAGAGCAGTTGGAAGATAGTAAGTAGCAAGCAAACCGCAAAATGTCATAGCCTTGCTTGCGTTATATACATTATATCTATGTATGTATGTATGTATGTATGTATGTATGCCAGTGTGTGGGCGTGTGCCGCAGATGGAGTTCCCAATAATAGTTTGCGATAGATAAAAGTAAGCGCAGTGGATTTAAAGCTTTAAATATATAGCTGTCAAGGAAATGAATGTTTAAGAGTTGGAAATTACTAGAAAATTAAAAAAGAATATCAGGAAGACATGGAAAGGGAGAGGCAGAGAGTGAGCATAAAATGGAATAAATTACATGAGACCAATTTTCTTTATCCTTTATTCGGTATAAATTAGCCAATTTATCTTATTTTTTTATTATTTAACATTTTTCAGTTTCGGCTTAATATAAAGGGTGATTTTATTAGATTTAAGATTTTCAAAAAGGAATAATGAGCAATAAAAAATAATGTTATTGACCGATAATTACCTTTGTAATAAAGATTTGCCATTATGTTTTAAATATGATTTCGGGCAAGTGACCGCCGCGGCTGGTTCGCATAAATTTCTGTCGAGGGGCCCAATTTTCGTTCATGGAAGTCATAATTCTATGGTGCAAATGGAAGTCATAATTCTATTGTGCAATCTTCCCTTAAGTGTATGGGCACAACTCAATTTGCTATGCTCTTTGTCGGTTAGACACGCTCGTGTCTCTTTCTACGCATTATTTAGTTGACAAAAATACCAAGCACAGGGTAAAGTCCTCTGGCCGCATACGTAGTGCTTCCCTTTTCACACGCCACTTCGAAAACTAACACACAAAATTTGATGATAATAACTAAAAGAGGCTGCAAAATGCATTCAAGCTATAAGTAGTCTACTCCAGCAACCCACTTACATATTAAGCAATCTGTAAGTTGCGGTTTGGATCTAAATCCTACAAAGACCTAAGTGATACTATTCACTAGAACTTACAAGCCACCGGATTTTAAACTGCCTTTAGTTAACAGTATCAATACTCTATTTCTGCTCTCAATCTTTCAAAAAGTCCGTTAAGCTCTTTTTAATATGCTTCCCGTAGACTGTCCTGCAACTGAAAGCAAGTTGTGACATTTTAAGACTACATACAACTCAACACTGAAGAAGCCACTGTATAGAACTCTCCCAAATACAGAACTCTACACCATCAGTAATATATTAGGATCACAGTGTCTAATTTAGTAGTTTTTTAGTGAATCTTTAATTAAACAATAACAAATAGAACGAACAGGAAATTAAAATTATAACAGTTTTGGTTCCAGGATCCATAGCTAATCCTTCGATGGCGGCGTGAACGGAAAGGTCCGCTTATTGACACTCGCATTTGCTATAGGCAAGAAAATTCTTGCCTCTTACAATAACATACACGGTGTGTCCCAAAAATAACCGAACTTTTTGGATATAAAATTAAATACACATTATATTAACTATGAAAAATATTATTTGCTCAAAATAGGTTCGATTTGAGTCAACCCAACGTTTGGAACGATCAACCAGCGCATGCATAGATTTTTTTATGTCATTTATAGAAATGTTCTCCAGTACCTCGGTTACGGCTGCATGAATGGCTGGGATATTATCATAAAATCCTCCCTTCATCTTGGTTTTCAGTTTTGGAAATAAAAATAGTCACATGGTGATAGATCAGACGAATACGGAGGATGGTCGATGAGAGAAATCCCTTTTTTCATGAAAAATTCGAGCGATTTTTTGGTCGTCATTTAATTCATGTGGAACAAATCGTGCAAGGACCTTTATTTTCCCCAAATCTTCAGTTAAAATTCTACAAATACTCGTATTACTCGTATTCAATTCCTCAGCCAACATTCTCGTGCATCGATACCAATGATTTTACGGACTTTTTCCACCAGTTCAGCGCGATTACTAGTTTCCGGACGTCCTGCTCTAGGGTCGTCATTTAAATTCTCACGACCATTTTTAAATCCTGTAAGCCACGTATAAATTTGTGTTCGACTCATACAATCATCACAATAAACTTTTTTCATTAATTTTTTTTTCAAGTTTGACACAAAATTTTATATTTGCTCTTTGTTCCATTTTATTTTTGAACCATTAACACACTTTTGGTTTTATTCAAATGGCTGTCACTTTTATATTTGTCATCCGACTTACATGATGTTAGGAGAGTTTAAAAGAGGACGAATGTATCTTTTTAATGTTGCAAATTTTCAATAGGTGGCGCTGTATGTTGTATGATTTAAATGTAAAGTTCGGTTATTTTTAGGACACACCGTGTATATAGCAGAGTCGTGTGCCATAACCGAAATCGTTTGGTGTTGCCTCGATTCTGCTATGCATTTTTTTATTTTTTTATGATTAGTTCACTAAAACTGTAACTTTTCCCTAATTAGAAGGCTTGTGGGAATTGATCTCCATTTTTAGCACAATTTTACCCCACCGTGCGACGAGCAATGAACGAAAAAACTTGAATTAATTACCGTGCTAACTCTAATTTACTAGATTCGCCTCATTTTGTATAGACTAAAATTACCTTCAATTTTTGAAGCATGCCTTGATGTAGATATTTCTAAATAAATATATATAAAAATAGTGTTTCGAAGAAAAACATATGGGTTTTGTATTAAAAAAAACGTTGACAATTCTATTTTGTGATAAAATATCAATATTCTATAAGAGTGTACAATTACTGGCGTACGCCGATGATATTGACATTCTCGGCCTCAACAACCGCGACATTAGTTCTGCTTTCTCCAGGCTTGATATAGAAGCGAAGCGAATGGGTCTGGTAGTGAACGAGGACAAGACGAAATATCTACTGTCATCAAACAAAACAGTCATCGCATTCGTGACATGGCTCCCACGTCACTGTTGACAGTCATAACTTTGAAGTAGTAGCTAATTTCGCCTATCTAGGAACCAGCATCAACACCAATAATAATGCCAGCCTTGAAATCCAACGCAGAAGCACTCTAACCAGCAGGTATTACTTTGGACTTGTATGCAATTGAAAAGCAAAGTCCTCTTCCGACGAACTAAAACCAAACTCTACAAGTCCCTCATCGTTCCCGTCCTGCTATATGATGCGGAAGCATGGATGAGTCGGCGTTAAGAGCTTTCGAGAGAAAAGTTTTGCGTAAGATTTGAGGACCTTTGCGTATTGGCAACGGCGAATATCGCAAAAGATGAAACGATGAGCTGTACGAGTTATACGGCGTCATTGATATAGTTCAGCGAATCAAGAAGCAGCAGCTACGCTGGCTAGGTCATGTGATCCGGATTAATGCGAATACTCCAGCTTTGAAAGTTTTTGATGCAGTAACCGCCGGGGGAAGCAGAGGAAGAGGAAGATCTCTACCCCGTTGAAAAGACCAGGTAGAGAAGGATCTGGCTGTACTTGGTATTTCCAATTGGCGCTTAACAGCAAAAAGTAGAAGCGAAAGACTCAAAATTGCTTACTCGGCTACAAGAGCGTAAGCGGTGTCTACGCCAGTAAAGTAGGTAAGTAAATAAGATAAATTAGCAATGTCAAAAATAATGTTTTCGGCGGCTCTTTAATACCCGAATTCAGCGAATCAACGAAGCTACACATAAACACACAACATCTAAGCTCGCCACAGCTAATAAATAACCAAGCTTTTCCCAAGGTTCCCAGAGCTCCTAAGTAGATTAAAGTAAGATGTTGCACACTTTTTTTTGGAAGTTATCCTTAGCTGCACATTATTTTCACCTTTCAGAGAAATTAACTTAAATTTCAAACTTTGAAAAGCCATCTTTATTAACTTCAACGGAATTCGGTTTTATGCCTTTAAATCAGTTAATAACTGTTAAGAGCATAATTTATTCATGCATTGAACTCTATAAATATGCATGCATACGAGTAAATACATACATATATTTAAAGCTATTTATTTAACTCAACTCACCATAAACATTCAATCTCGCCGAGTGCTCCACACTGCCCATCGAATTGGTGGCAATGCACTTGTATAGGCCGCCATCGTCTGGACGCACATGCGATATATTCAAGTGACTGATCACATCGCCTGACATATCAACAAACTGACCGATAGCAAAACGATGATGCAACGAAACATCCATTATCGGTTGGGAGTCCAATAACCAGGCGAACTGCAGCAAAAGAAGTATGGAGGAAACAAAACAAAAATAATAATAATCACTTAGCGAGGTAGTAAAAAGCGTGCGTACGACTAGGTATATATATGTACGTGCATACGTCCTTTATCAAGCAGTTAAAGTGTGGCAACCAACAGAAGCAAGCCACAGCAACTTGCAACTTGCCGGTAAAGGACGAAATACACGTGTATGAAGTGTAGTAAGTGTGGCATGAGGCGTGTGGCGTGTATTGGTGCACTTACTTGCGGTGGCGGTGAGCCGCTAGCTGAGCACTTAAGCGATATTAATGGTCCTGGCCGCACATTTTGCTCGATAAAGGTGTAAATCAGTTCGGGCACAGTATCTGCGAAGGGAGAAAAGAGGTAGGCGGTGCCACAGTTTATGAGTATTTCAAGTTTTTAAGTAATTTTCAGCTACTTCGAAACAAGTTTGGTACAACATACTTACCACCCAACTTTAATTCGGCCATGGCTTGTGCACTGGCTCTACTGTTCTCCACTAAACATTGATAGACACCACGATCTCGGCGGCCCACATTATGCACCATAAGCGACGTCTTCGTTAGGAAACGTATGCTGAGAAAGCAATGGAAATATAAGTATTGGCGTATTTCATGTTTGTATATATTTATGTACGTATTTAGTCATTTACTGTATTAAAAAGGCAATGTGCAGCTAAATATTAGATATTTTTCAAATGTCTACAACACAACCACCAACTGAAATATTTTTTGAATAAATAAAATTCTGCAGACTGCTAAATTCAAAGAAAATGAAAATGTATACCAAACTACTTTTCTCTTCCTCCACAAAGTAGTTTCTTCAAATTCACAAAAATTCAAATTTCGAAACTGAGTTTTACCTACAAATAGGATGAAGGAGTATACAACAGAGCTTAAGATAGTTCACGTGGGGTAGGCCTATTCAACAGTGCATATAAGATCCCATCAGGTAATCCTTTATTCTAAGATTTTGTAGACTCGGCGCATGGTGAAAATTCGGTTCATGGTGGGCTTACCAAGTTTAAGTCTTCATTTATTGGTGGTGTGCCTTAATCTTTCACACAACACGCTCTATAGGATCTTAACTGAGGTATTGAAAAGACTTACCCAAGAGTAATTTGCGCTCACTTTTTATGGATTTGGCCGAACACACTTAGGTTCCAGTCGTCCAGCCGTTCGGCCATATTTGGCAATGAAGCTGATGCAAACTACCGGCTTCTGCGGCTTTATTATAATTCAACCTCTTCATAGTCGAGTATTAGAACGCCTTATCAACCAGCATGGATCAGAAATACAGATCAACCATATCTGGCTGTTGTGCTTCTACTGTCATTTGGAAAGCCGTGGAGTACACCACTGGGCAATGGTCACTAAATTACCTAACTTCTCTTGTAGCTAAATTTTTCTCATAGAATTCTTGAAAGTTTTTTCCGCAAATTCTGCTCACTTCACTCTTCAGGTTTCGGTGTCTACCTCACTACGCGTGGATTCTGCACGGCAGCAGACAGTTTGATATTTATTATCGTACTAGGTTTCTTTCAATATTATCAACTATTTATTTATTATTAATTATTTATATTGAGCTGCTGATGAGTGTTCTCGGAGACGCCAAGTAGAAGCCCGTTTTGCTTTGTGTTTTGCTTGCAGCTTTTTGAAGTCAAGCTTTTCTTGTGTTGAGGGGCTTTTAATGCTGCGGATCTTTGCTTTGTCATTATGGTGAGCCTAGTCGGTGTCGAAATTTACGCACACATAAAACGCTGAAGACATATCTTGTCTATTGCAACTTGATCGATTTTGTTATGTTATTTTCGATCTGCTGGCAGTCGCATAACTTGATTACCTTTCTTACGTCGGAGTCTGGGACAACATAAAATAGGAACAAACAAAACCAATCAGACATTGTCCGTTCGGTATTATTTCCTTATTTTGGCTGAATTTTCCTACCATTGAGCCGAATATACAGAACTTCATATCTTTCGGAAATGTCGAAGAATTTCGCTTTAATGCGAATTGTAGTTATGATTCAAATAATTTCAAGCCTTGAGGACTCACACATTAATGAATGTCGGCATTGAAATGATGGGTTTTGGCTTGTATGATTTTTCATTGGAATTTCTCTCCTCAAAAAGTATATTTGTTGGCTACCTAAAGGATATTTAGTCTAAGGACAGAAGTATATATGAGTAAAATTAAAGTTACACTCCAATACTTGTCACAACACTAACATAAACATACCGCAGTAGCCAAGTGGTTAGCATTGCGTAACGCCTTTCAGAATGCCTGGGTTTGAGTCCTGGATCAACCAAAATCGATATTATCGTTAATTTTCTTTCGACAGGCAATGTCAACCTCTCTGGATGTATTTCTGACATTAAATAAAGACTCCTCCTGAAATAACATTGTCCTAGCGGATGTGGCTCGGAATTAAATGTATTTATCTTTAGCGAAAACAGCAGGACGCATTTAAGAAGGAGTTCGACCAGATATCACCTCAACGTTTATAAAACGCCACTTGTATAAATTATATATACACATAGTCGTATATACATATGAGACACATATGCTTAAAGTTAATATATTTACATAATTGCTCACATATATATATGAAATATATGCATACATACACATGTATGAATAAGTTTGCGTCCGAGTGTATGTTATTCACTATCTCCGCGTATATGGCTTAGGTAACATATTGTTTGCGTTCATTGAACAGAGCAAACATGCCAAACGACCAAGCTGCATGAGTGTCTGCATATACATACACACATATGTGTGTATTTGCATATTGACAAAAAGCGTTTGTTGTATGTGTTCTCACAATGTGCACACATATTGGTTGAGTTATGCAAATATTCTTACTCTCGCACACACATTGACACACATACATATACATTTGTTGAAAATGCACACATTTTCGTTGTCACCACTCGAATCTAGTCAATGCTGTCAACCTATCCATTCGTTTGGAATTTATTATTTATTTGATTAGCATTATCATAAAAAAAATGTCGGCTTGATTTGTAAATCTGATACGTAAGCTATTTTGCTACTCTTTACTTTAGTCAATTTTTTATTTTATTTTATTTCTTATCATCTTTATTCTGGCAAGCAGCTCACATCTGTTGAGCGAATTCAGCACGCTTGAAAGCGTTATTTTAAATGAAAATGAAAAAGAAGTTGAAAAATTCGCACTGAATAATCGTAATTTTTGTATGTGTAAGAAGCGTAAGCAAATTTTGATAACCTTGCAAATTTTTCCCATATAACCTGGTGATAAGTTTTTCCTCGCCAGCTGAATGCTGACCGAGCAGAACCTTTCGGGTGTACAAATATGGTTTGGTATGTAAGAATGTAATTTACGTATGATGTGGTAAAAACCGGCATCAATATGGTGACAGCTTTCAGAAATCTCGTATATTTTATATATTTCCCATAGAGTAAGGTTTTAATAAATTTGAAATGCAAAATGGAAAATTTTTCTGTAGAGAACACCTTTTATTAAAAATTATATTGAGAAAAATGTGGATCAAAGTTGGCATAACAAGGATGGGCGTAACCAAAGGGAAAATATGCTATAGCCTACAATTTTTTCTTTGGTAAAGGCGGAAACTTAAATCAGACATGCGAAAATGCAAATAGTTGATTCTGAAACTGTTACATACGGTCATGCTGAATTTGAATTTCGTCGATGTCGTTCCGGGAATTTTATTGTAAAAAATGCCCCATCGAGTTTGTTCGCCAAGCGAGCATTGCTTCTATTGCTCACGGACTAAATATTGCACAAAAAATAGTTCAGGACTGCTTAAAAAAAGCAGGATACACAAAGAAGATTGATATATGGATGTCAAATGAGTTTTTCAGGAAAAACTTCATGAACCAAAGTTCCAGCTGCGAATCGCTACTGAATCGTCTCATTTCTGAAGCCGCTGGTGAGAGATGAAGAAAATTGAATCATTTACAAAAACGCCAATCGAAAACAGTCTTGGTCGAAACGAAGTGAGCCGGCCCAAGCGTTCTCTAAGCAAGATTGGCAGCCAGAAAGGTCAACTTCTCATTTAGGGAAAAACAATCTGAAGAAGGTAACTGGCAAAATATTCGCCAACTGAGAAAACGGTTTTTATAAGTGGGAAATAATGACATGAAACGGCAAGAAGAAAAACGTTGCAAAGGCGATATAAATCGGATAATTCTGAACACAGTAAATAATGCCTTCAATTTAATGCAAAAATAATTTATTCTTAGACTAAGGATTAGCTAATGCTTTAATTTTTTCTGTTAGGCAAATTGCTTCAATATTGGCTTGACTAATACCTGACTTTGTTTAATTTTATCAGGAAAAGTATGCTCACTTAGTATATAAAATAAATCAGTACTAAAGGATCAAAGTAAACACTTTTCAAATAGATAAAATCTTAGGCATAGAGCATGCATGATTGCTCTTAAAAATTTGCTTATGATTCACAAAGAGGTTTTGTATTAATACCCGAACTACTTGCTGCCTAAAAGACTAATCTTTAAACGAGCATTAACACGAATTAAGAATTGTAATGAAATACCGATGGTGAGCCATACAACTAAATATATTATTAATTTAATTATTTCATTTTAAAAAAGTAGTTGAATAAATAACTCTGTGAAAATATTTTTATACCCCAGATAGAACATATCTCGTGTTCTTTTCTGACCCCATTTTGGTTTGGAATATAGATTACAGTTTTGTTCCACCTTGATGTGTCAAACTCACATGAAAAATCCTAGAGAAACAGCCAGTAAGTGACAAAATGTTAAGGAGAAGAATCTGAAGAACCTGTCATACCTTGCTTGCTGCCTTATCTGCCTTACAGTTTTCCTCGATGACTGTATGGTAAAGATCGGTAATGGCCAGCATAATTTTGAAATTTAGCGTTGGCTAGAAGTGTGGCCACGTTTCACCACTATTGATTTTTATAGTTCCATTTTCACAAGTTTGGCAGTTATCAAAATACAATCCTGAGCTTATGAAAATCTGAAATTTATACCCTTTATAATATATAAAAAACTAACGTTCGATGGTAAGTATCCACAAATCCACAAAAGTTGAAATCGGCCCATATTATGGTTTCGATGATTTCTGAAAGGGTTCATATTGATCAATTATTTCACAAACTGAACCAAGGGCAAAAAAACACCTTATTTAGAGTTCGATTTGCTTAAAACTCTTTCGTTTTAGTTAATCTTATGGATGATAGCCATATACATAATATTTTTGTTCCCTGGAAGTGCCCCAAAGGCCTAGAACGAAGTTGGACCCTATGGAAATAAAAGTAGTATTTTCATAACAGGAAAGAGACCACCAACAGGCTTGACAAAAATTAGTGTTATTTAGATATAAGGATAGTTCATACGTAGATTTGCTTTTGCATTTTTATTACGTTACGGCTGCTAGAATTTGCTTAGATCAGAATGTTGGGTTTAGCTTATCTCAAAGTAATCCCTCATGAACGGATTTGAGCAGCAAAAAAAGTGATTCACACACAAAAATCAGTACTTAGATCAATAATATAATAAAAAAAACTTAATATTTTGGCTTAGATAATGTACACTTATAAAAATTGGAAAAATACTGTTGGCCACAGCAATGTGTGGCCAAGTCTGCTAGTTTTAATTATATTTTCAATCATCCAGAAAATTCCATAGTCCTGAACTTTCCCCCATCTCGACAATGCCGCTGCCTTTCTTTGTATCTCTCAACGCGCGTATAGTCATAGGTAACTAAACTTGTTTACCAGGTTGGTTAAGCACGATTAAGTTCACCTAAGCCTACTGGCCCTTTAAGATACCTTAGGTTGGGCCTGCTAAGTAGATTCCTTTTGCCTTTCCAAGTGCTCAAACTACTTGGAGTATTTTATGAAATTCAGTAAATTAATGACGCTTACTGATGTTAACACTGCTAGATGGGCAGTAGCAGAGGAAGTCCTCTGCAGCTGCAGCAAAAGTCGTTTGATATGCAACCCATTTTTCTACCAACCGCTATTATGCTTATGGAGGTCAGGTTAGCAAGGAAGCTATTGGCTCTTCTGATGAAAGCTAGCCTTATTAGATTATTTCGCCAAATGGTATGCGCACATCATGGCAGAATTTGCTCAGTTCGTCGGCTACACAGTTCTCTGGGATGCGTTATGACCTAGGACTTAAAATGTAATTTCTGCATTTCACATAAATTTCATTGTTTGTTGAAGTTATTTCTGCATTAAATTGCCAACTTTAAGGTGGCCTGATTGCATTGGACAAGCTCCTTAATAGCCTGGCTGGGGAATATATAGTATATAGATGGGGTTAAAATAATAACAGCGAGGGACTATGAAGCGGCTTCCGTTAGCGTAGCTGGTTCCGTTTGAAATACACTTCGGTGTAGCGTAAACTCAACAATATACTTTGTCATCTAGTTTAGAGCCATTGGTGAAGATGGCCACAGATCGATGATCCTATTCGGTTCCACCATTGTTGAGTTGCATTTAGTATTAGTACGGTCGTAGTAGCAAATATTTATCCAGCCATCTAAAACTTTAACTTAGAAATTGACATTCTGCTCACACATTAAGTGAGCTTACGCCTATATGTGGGCTATATATCTGTACAGTGCTAAAAGGAACTTTAAAAAATCTGTTTTCATTAGAAACAAAATTCATTCAAAATAAAATAACCCAAGGAATAAAAGGGGTGCCAAGTGATTTAGTAAAATTATATATTGTAGTTGCTTCATAATTTTATATTTAGCCAAAAATCACTATCCTTCACAAATATATATTTGCGCAAAAAGGTGAAAAAAGTTAAATAATAATAAATAAATGATTTCAGCTTAAATGTCAATTTATTTGAGAGAATATTAATCTTTCCACTCTTCTATCTCGTTCAATTCTAATTTACCAACTACTCCACTATGCTTCCGACTCGATGGTGAGAGCATGTGAGTGCGTATTGCACTTCTAGTCAAAAGAACTGAGAGTACTTTGTTAATGGACTAAGCTTCAATGTTGTTGTTGCGTTCAAAACAATAATTGCACGTTTGTGCTTATCCACTCCATGTGGAATTTCCCAACCCGTCACCATGCTTCAATGACCATTTATTGTTGAATGCACAAATCAATGTAGACTGTTTCAATTTCTAGTTGCATGCAAACAGCTATTATTTCTACTATGGCTCAACAGCCTGCTGCAAGCACTTCCGACCCAGCGAAGCCAAGAACACAAACCAAGTTCATGACCGCAAACAAATGAACAAACCAATTAGTTATTATTTGGTATTTCTAAATTTTTATTTTTTTATTTTTTCTCTTTTGCCTTTAATTTTTGTTCAGTTTTTCAACTGCATTCCAGCTGTCCGTAACAAAAGAACGTCATTTTTCAAAATATCCAAACCAAATAAATCAAAACGATATGGCAGCAACACTGGGCAGCATACACGCATACATACACAACTGTGATTAATGCAATCCCTGTTGAATGCAAACAACTCAGCAACCACAACCATATTTCTATGCAAGTTTTTGCGGAAATGGAAACCTCAAATTTCGGTAACGAATGAAATATTAACACAAAGGAGAGAGAGTAAACAAACAAAAGCAAAGTGTGAAAAATTGAAGGCACTACTCGGGTATGGGTTTGAAGTGTGTTATAGCAGCGTTAATGCATACATAAATACTTGTAAATTTTAATAATAATAAAATTTATGTAAAATAACTTAGAAATATTTTTTGGTTGAAAATTAGTTTGGGTTTTCGTTAATTGGTGGTGGCTTCTGTTTCAGTTCGACAATTTTGCCTAAAATATATTTTATTATCAATTAGTGACATACATTTGTACGGAGCTTGCACTCTTATGCTAAGAATCATAAAATAAGGGTTCAGTGTCAATGTGTGCCGTGAAGCTCTCTCCTTGCTGAAGTGGCTTGCCATGGCGTATGAGCAACGAAAATATATATTACAATATTAGTAATGTGATAAACACCGGTAACTTGGTTTAGAAAAATCGACTTTTCAACGTAATTCAAAACAAATATATATATTCTAGTGCTCTCAAGATAAAAAATTCTCGAACCAAATGCTTGAGCTGAAATATGAATATCTTATTCTACTCATTAACAACTCTCGCTCATTAAAAATGAAAAAAAAAAAACCAAGATTAAGCGTTCAAAACTTTCAATTTTTGGATGAAATCGTCTATGATACTAACATTTCGTCAGGGGAATCGAGGTTGGATGGAACCGAGCTCATAAACTCTTCGAACCAAAATCTTGTTGCACCACGTTCACAGAAAATTTTCTTCACATTTTTATATTTAATTCGTCTGCCCATAACAAATATGACATTGATTACACACTATGAACAAACTCATACAGCTGAACAGAAAGTGAATAATATTGAATTTCCGAATTTCAATTTCATAATTTCCGCCGCAACTAGATAGAAACACACGGTTTGTACTTACTTCTCCCTGCCGTTGCTAAGCGCATTATTGCCCTGTAGTGGCATACCATTATGCAGCCACTCGATGCCATCTATCGCTGAACCGGTCGTCGAACAGTTGAAAATTGCCATTCCACCCGAATTGACAATTTGCACTTGTGGCAAAATATGCACTGAAACATACGAATTCACTAACAAACGAATTTCGATGCGTTGTTCGCCGAATTGATTTGCCGCCTGGCAGACCTGGAAGCGAAAAAATATTTTTGTGGTTAGGAGTCAGATTAATTTAAAACTGTAACTAAATATACTATAATTATTTGTTGAATTCTTTTCAACTAGTAAGTCTTCACAAAATATAAAACCAGCTTTAACACTCCAGTGCGCATGCGTATTTTATTTTATTTTGTTTCTTATTAATTATATTACAATTTATTTAATATTTATTTTATTACTATTTGCTATATTTAATTTTTTTATGCTTATTTTCTTTTGATTTTATTTTATTTTATTTTATTTTATTTTATTTTATTTTATTTTATTTTATTTTATTTTATTTTATTTTATTTTATTTTATTTTATTTTATTTTATTTTATTTTATTTTATTTTATTTTATTTTATTTTATTTTATTTTATTTTATTTTATCTTGTATTTCTTAAACAAATATACCTATTCAACACCCTAACGTGTTAAAAAATTAAGTTTTGAAATTAGGTGTGACTTCTCTGTCAGTTTTCTTGATATAGTTTGAGTCAACGACATTCCTAATTCGATTATATTATGATTTCATTCAATGGAACGACTCACTTACCAAGATGCAAAGTCAAAACTTTGATTTAATAAGTTTTCTTTAACTCACTTCTTAACCCTTACTATACAACTTCTTAAGTCAAAGACTCTTTGCTACGCTCACTTACTTACCCATTTGCCAGCATCACGTTCGTCAGCATTTTTGATGAGCAACAGCGTGCGTGACAATATCACACGTTGCGAAGATGGAATTGGATACAAGGCCGATGAGTCTGAAACGCGATACCACCTGCAAGCAAACAAGCATAACATAACAAAATTTTTGTTTATAAGTGAGCGAGAGTAGAACAGATAGAGCAAATAAATATAATACCGTAAATGCAAAAGAAATGAAATTCGAAAGAAAATTGCCTCAAATATAATCTGACGTATGTACACGCATATGTTTGTATAAATGCATACATTTATTTAATTTCAATACTTATTCAGCAAACTGTGGAAAATAACTCGACAAATATCCTTATTATCCTGTGCGTACGTGCAAAAGCACCTGCGTGTACACTTTCCACTAGCATACCTTAAAGTCGCACATACAGGTGTGTGTATAAATATGTTTAAAAGAATATGTATACCAATGTGTCTGGCAGTAGTGCAACCATGACAGTGAATTATTTGCTATATTGTCAGCTCAACAGTTGCCCTATGAGCTCGTCTGTTACGTTCAAATATATATACCCACACACACTCGCGCATACACACATACATGGAAAAGCCGGTTGCATTGCCACTGGCGTACAATCTCCCGTGAGCAATTCGTTTAACCAAGTTAATATGCATTTATCTGTCTGCTGCCTCTACCATTGATGGTGTTGGTTTTCCTCTTTTTTATTTCTCCTTTTCTCCAGCATTGTAGGTATGTTTGAAGGCATAACGGCATATCATTGCCATTTTTATAGTGATTTATTATAATAAATTTACAGCTCGCAATAAATGTGCATGTAAATTATATCATTATGTAAATTATACGCTCGACTACACACATATATATTTACATCTGTGCACACGTATACATATATGGGTTTCTATACACCCAGCAGATTAAGACATCCCATCCTTCTGGCGATTTGTAGATTCCGTGCCAAAAGAACTGTTTATCTTTTAAGGCAAACCAGTCATCGAGCCATTTTTATACATCTTCGTCAGAAGTGAAGCGCTGCCCAGCAAGTACGTGTCCAAACGATGCAAACAAGGAGTAATCGCATGGAGCAAGGTCCGGTGAGTAATATGCGTGATGAAGAGTCTCTCAACGGAACGACTCTGTCGTTTCCTGGACCTTTTTTGCTTTGTGTGCTGGTGCATTGTCACTCAAAAGTCGATCCAGATCGGACATTTGTTGTCGGTAGCGTTGAGTACCCCAGGTTTCAACGGCTAAAAGTTTATTACGCCCTCCCGTTTCCACCAAGCACACATCATTGTCTTTCGTCCGTAGCGCTTTGGTCTTGCCGTGTTGATGGTTCCCCCGGAGTAACCCATGACTTTTTGCGCCTAGTATTCTCGAAATATATATTCAATTTTCATCGCCAGTCACAGTTCGATGCAATTCGGCTGCGGTTTTCTTCGGATGAAAACAGAAAAGTACTGCTGTCCGGAAATCGTAATTTGTTGACACCAAACTTGACTTGTTTATCTCTAATGAAAGAATGCTACAGAATGAAACTCGTTCTATTGTGAGTTGGAAATCTTTGTCGGATATCAATACAATGACAAGACACCGCTGACGTGATGTGTCGATTACTGCAATGACATCTAGCACAACCTATAGACAAAATCCGGTTTCATACCTACACCCCTGGTATACGTATGTAACTTATAATTAATGAACGCCAGGACCGGGTTCGATGACTTGCACCAAGCCATAGAACAAACCAAACAAAAGGAATACAAAAAAAAAGTTTCGAGAAGTGGTTACGGGAGTAACTTATTCAAAGAGATCGTCATTACAGGAAGTGTGTAAAAAATTTATAATTTTCGTTTGATTTCCTTAAAATTAAACACATAGGTAGGTTAGTATTTGACCCATCATGAATGGGGACCAGGGACTAACCAGTCCGAAAAATTTATATTTCCAGTTCGATTTACTAGAAATTTAGTTGGCATGCAGCCATTTGCTTAGTTTAAGATGGACATTAATGTTTCCATCGAAAGTGAGCCCGGGACCGATCTATTATGTAGTTTGAAAGTTGTAGGAGTTTAGTTGTTTGATTTTTTGTGCTTTTTTAGAACTATCACAAGGAAGGTTCGACAACGAAAAACTCCAGTCACAGTGGCCAGCCAAAATGGGATCTACGAGACTTGCGCTCATGCTTTCGAAGAGGTTTGAACTACTCTTGAAGCGCTCTCTATATCGTCACAATGTATCGGAAAGCCGAAATGTGCGAGCAGAAAATATTTTAATAAATTTTCCGGGAGGAATAATGCTTGAAATTTCCATTAAAAATTAGGCAATTTACTGAAACTTTCAATATCAGAGCATGCTCATAAAGCGCATAGAGAACACAGCCTGCTGAATGGCACTGAAATAGAAACACCAAGAGATGTCGAATTTGATTCTCCACTTGATGACGTTGACCGAATGAGAAAACTTGGATAGCAATTGCACGCCTGAAAGCAACAAAGTGGCGTAAACCTCATCTTTACAGGCTAACCTGTTTAATCAATTCAAGACATCTTCTCCAAATTGCATTTAAAATCCGAGAGTATTGTGTTTAATACTAAAACCCATAGTGAAAGAACTGCTTGGACTTTATCGGTATGGCTCCAGAACTGGCAGATCTACCATTGACCACATTTTTAACGTGCGCCGTGAGAAAAATATCGCCACATACCACTTCAAATTCATTGATTTAGAACAGCTGAAATTGCGCACAGCCGAGCCATAACAAAAGCTCAGAATCCTTCAACATCATACAAAGATTAAAATATGGTGACAGTTTATGGTTTGACCTCTTCAACGAAGTGTCACAGAAAATTATAGAAGCTAAAAAGCTAAGCAAAGAGAGCATTATATTCTATAAGTGCGTGCAACTGCTGGTCCAGTATGAACAATGGGCTTAGTAGTGAACGATGACAGAATGAATTTTTCCCAGGTATTCAAACAAAAGGCTGTCACGTGGGCAACAAGCTCAAATCTTCTCTCGATATACAAAGATTACGCGCTGCTAGTCGTGCATCACACCCGTCCCACTGTAGTGTGCAGAATATTGAACGATTATGACTTCCGCCAAGTCGATACCGGAGATTTTTAAGGAGAACTTTTGGTAATGTTTCAACTTTTGCGTGATAATGTTACAAATTTAGTTTCTTTATAAAACTAGACTTAAAAATCTCTACAGCAAACTGCAGTGTACTTCATTAAGCCTTCGTCAAATTCTACTTTTTCAAAATTTTATTCACCTGCAGCGAGCGTCGACTGGCTTTATATGTATGTCATACCCGCCTTATTACTTAAAAATTTTTAATTATCACTGATTGGCTTTAATTGGTGTTAATTCAATCGTTCACTCAAAAGCCCTGCGTCGCCGTTGACATTGAAATCACCGAGAGCTCATGAATACGTAATGCAGCACTTAAGTTGTAGTCGAAGTGGAAGAAAAATATTTACGTTTCGAAAGTAATGAGAGAAACGGGTTTTCAGGCAATGAAGACTGTAAGGCAGTAGATGGAAAATATTTTGATATTTAAACAGGAAATTATTGAAAAAATATTTGATGCTCAAATTTTATAAACAAAGTAATTAGTTTTAGGCACGTAAACTGAACTATACATATACATATATAGTTATAGCTTTAAGCCGTTGACTGTTGCGTGTCATCATGTCATTCCAGTAAGTTTTACAACCTACAGTTTACACAAACCGCAACCAAACGACCAATGGGTTTTTATAAGGGTCTTAGATTTTCATGACAGATTTACACTCGAAGGGCTTGAAATTATCTACCGAGGGACGACCGGAACAAAAAAAATTAACTTTCTATAATTTTGGATGTCAGTTGGGCTAGAACTCAAACCAAGGCCTTTCGAATATCAGTACGCAATGCTAACTGCACTGCCAATGCGACCGTCAATTTGTCGCGTACTGGCCGCAACAAAAACTTCTTTTATGTGTGTCTGTTAATTTCCTTTGTTTTGCCTAAGCTCCCTTTCACTCCAAGCGTTGGCAGTGATATCTGTCGGCAAATAGTTGCATTATTTGAAGCCATGGATTGATGGCACGGTTGCATTCGGTGTGTGCCTACCCAGTGGTATAAGTCTCCAAAAGGAGGTGTTCCCCAAAACGGTTCCTCCACTAACAAATATTAGGGCAACGGTATGCTTTGCGCGGGAATTCCGTAAAAAGGGGTGTCGCCTTTTTCTTTACTGCAGCGAGGGGAAAAGTTATCCCAGTGTACTTGGTGTGCCATGGTGGCATGCGCTATACAACCCGGTCCCTTTGGGTAATGGGGGCGGCGCCAAATGATTGGGCACCAATACACACTCGCAGGAGAATTTTGAAGGCCGACGCGTAGCTTGCGGCCTGGCTCGTAAGTGCGTGCCGGATCAGATTCTTGCAATCTACAGAAGAGTGCGAACTTCTTTTTACGCAGGCGTGCGATTTACAAAAAAAAAAGAAAAAAAAACAAACAAAAAATTTGTGATATTTTTTTTTTATAAATATAATAGCGTTTTGCCAGGCGAGGCAAGTGGTAGCGTAAGGGCAGTTGAAGCCTTGTAAAAAGTAGTGAAAGTTTTAAGCCAGTCGGGGCTTGTTTAAGGGCAGACGAAGCCCAGTGCAAAATAGGTTTTCTTTTATATTCCAGTGGCGGAACCAGAGTTTGGCGTCGACATCATCCGGAGGAGCACCGAAGTTGGGTACCCACACCCGACCGAGAAACTGATAAGTATCATTTCGTGTATTTATTGTTTGCGTACGTTTTGTCGTGCCGACAGTGTCACCACCCTCGTTACGTCCTTACCCATCCTTCTAGCATCCCGCACCCGGAGCCCAGTCATACAGGCGGGTTAAAGTTACCCCCGGCAGCACGGGAGTAGTGCGAGTGGGTTCGTAACCAGTTCGGTTGGACCACACCTCGGGTGCACCCCAAAAACATATTTTGTTTTATTGTTTTGAGTAGTTCGAATTTGCTGTTAAATTGTTGTCCCGCAATTTTTGTTGATCGCGTTAGGAAGTTTCGCTTGGTTTTGTTTTTCTTTGCACGTAGTTTGTTGTTGTGCGTAGCTAGCGACCCACGCCGTCTTCACTAAGCTGGCCGGTCGCTTTGTTAGTTTTGTCATCTCCTTTTTGTGCGGTAGTTTGTTTTGACGTGTGTGGTTGTTAGTAGGCGTTTGACCAACAGCCACTGCAGGTATACATATGTATGTACGTATGTACACACGCACATACATATTGTAATTACAAAAAGTGGAGGTGACAAATTGCCATGTAGAAACAAAAGTAAACACATAAACAGTTAAAGATTTGAGGCGAATTCAATTTTCTCTTTTCGGTTTTGCTTTTAGCTCAATATAAATTTTTAATATGTTAGGCACAGACTGTTGGCATCACATAATCCACTCATGAGCCGTTGAAATAAACAAATAACCAACACATCAAAGTAGAAAGTAGAAAAGGTCTAATATGTCTTATGAGCAGCCCCTATGAAGACCAAAGCAACCCACATCACAAACAATCAATCACTGTCAGAGACCGTAAAACAGACAAGCAGACCGATTGTAGCTACATGCGCAGCCTAAACGCCAGTTAAGCTAAATGCCGCAGCAAATGAGCTGTTTGTGGGGAAGCCCAATGCCTCATTACGCCTACGCAAGTCACTGAATAAATAGGTGTCGGACAGCTAAAGCTTACATGTGTGCTCTAAGGATTTACTTGCCACAGAACAAAGTTGATTATTTAACAATTTGCAATTTATGACTGAAAGATTGCGCAACAAAAATCTCAAACAAAAAACTAGGAGCGCAGAGAAAAGAGAAAAAAAAAACAAATAAGCTAAAGGATTAGTAGAGTCTATAACAACTGATACTTGGTAAATGAAAAAGTACATTCACAGCCATAAACACCTACACTTAAGCCCAAATTTTCATATTATATATGTACATACACGTATGATGAGTTAAACCGGTGGCGTATGAACAACCTTTTCTACTCTACTCTCATGCATTTGCTGGTAAGTCACCCATACGCCATGCTGAACGTGTGAAAACATATGATTTTGCCAGTTACACTTACGTGTGTGCTTTTACTTTAGTTAAATTTACTTAGCATTAAGTTGCGTTGCGCACGTGCTGAGAATTGCAAAGCACACATATCCTCGTATATACCTTGGGTATAAGCAAGCGTGCGAAGGAGCGTATTTTTTTTTTGCATAACGCAAATCTGTTGCAGATTATGCTTAAGCAGCATTTATTGATTTCGAAATGTGTTGCCTGTAATACGTAGTGACACTGTGGAGGTATCAGCAAACAACTGTTTACATAGAAATTCAGACTCAAAAGCTTTAGAAGAGATATTCGACTTTATTTGCTTTTACTATTTCTTCCATTTTTGGCAAATAAATTTTGGATAAAAGGAGAAATTGGCATTTGATGTTATATATATAAATTGTTATTTGAATTTTACTCTTCTCTCTATTTTATCTTTATATAGGTATTTGCTTCTTTGTTGAATTTTATTTCACTGCTTTTGTTTTGGAGGATGCAGAAATCTATGACCACATTTAAGCTGAATGACCAACCTTATTTGGCAATAAGAAAAATATGCTTCTCGTTGCCTAGAGCTATTAAGCAGACACATCTTTTATGGCACTACCAATCTGCGTTCCCAAAAATGGTCTCAAAGCAAACATAAATGTCTACTATAATTAACACTAACTTGTAGCCTGCAGACGGGCAAACAGGAAGAAAGGATATTATATATAAATGGAAGGCAAATATAGAGGCAACTAGGCTGCGTGCAGGCTGCGAGTAGACTATCAGCATTAACATTAAGCTAGTCACATATAATATCTACGTTTTATTAGACTCATTCACGACTTGTGGGCAATGATGGGCTATAAGAAATGGTTGAGTACAAAACCATCCACAATTACTTATATCCACACATAGGTTTATGTATGTATACATCTGCTGCCACATGGCCACAACCCAAAGGATACTTCAAGCGCCATGAGCCATTTAACTATTTATGTATGTGTATAAGAAATCATTTTTGCCTACATGCTCAGTTTATTATAGCTAAATGGCAGAAAACATTTATAACAGAGTAAATGTATGTGCATAACTGGAAATCTTTGGTGTACAATAAAAGAGAAAATTAAAAGAAATTAATGAAAAAAAAAATTAATTAGAACAAAAGCAACTAAAGTAAAAATTGCCAAATTATGCACAAAGATATCTAAGAAAGAAGAAATAGATTTTAAAAGCGAGCCACACCCATAGCAATATGTACTGTGCGTCGAAATATTTCTCTAAATAGACCGTCAGCATATCAGAAAAGTTGTCTGCTCTGAATTGCATATAAGCAAAAAAGGCTCTTATACTAAACAGCTTATTCGAGTTCATTTCACCATATCTTCTTAAGCTATAGCGCATTTTTTATATTGACAATACTATCTTAAATAAAAAATTCTAGCTAAATTCTACTTTGATATAGAATATCTTCTCTTGGAACTAGTAGCTTAATTGCGTATCTTACCGCATGCAAACTAGTTCATATAGGGCGTAAAATATAAGTAAACAAAAAGGAAAAAGGTTAAAAAAAAACAAGTTTCTTTAAGTGAAAAGATTTAAAGAAAACATAGATAAAAGAATGACATCCAAATTTTTAAACAAAGTCCAGCTCTACCAGAAAATTTTGTTTCGGAAGCCTACATTCTGTACGCTCTACAAAAAAGAGGGTGCTTCATAGTACTTAGGCCACCAACTTTGTGAACGAGGCCTATACTATATCTTTAAAAAAAATAACATATTGATATATGCACAAACATATTGCATTCTAATTTTGGTACTCTTTTGTTCATAATACAACGTACACATAGCTATTTATAATGTATTAGTTTAAATTGCCCAAAATGCAATAGCTTGACTTGCATGACATGGGGTTTCAACAAGCTGGTGCCACATGCCACACAGCACGCGTAACAATGAACTTATTGAGAGGGGAGTTCGGTGAACATTTTATTTCACGTTCAGGATCGGTCAACTAGACGCCTAGATCGTGCGACTTAACGCTTTTAGACTATTTTGTGTGGGGCTATGTTAAATCCAATGTCTGTACAGACAAGCCAAATCAATTGGCGCATTGGAGGCCAACTTTGAAGCTTTTTTTCGTGAGATACCAAATTGTGCTGAGCGGATAGACCAATTGAAGCGCAGCTACTGGCAGCATTTGCTAGCAACTCTCCTCAAACATTAAATTATATGGACCGTACTAACGATTCAAATAACGATTTTTCTGAATTTTATTTATTTTTTTTTTTAAACCTTTCCAATAGCACTTAAAAAAATCACCCTTTATGTCTCGCATACTCTAAGAGAGCTTGGATTACGCACAATAGTTAAGGAAAATTAATATTTTTTATTAAAAAAGAAATCAGCAAAAGTGTTTATCTCTTTACTCAGTAGAGTTTCATTGCATATCAAAGATAAACTCTACAACTTTCTTCTATAAAGTCGAAAATGTTAGTTAGGCAGCTGATGGCGTAAATATGGTTTAGGGTTCTGATACTGTAAAAGTCCAGCATGAACCATTTGCCTTTCGTCGTTTTCATTCCGGTTCAATGTAAAAGGTTCACCTCGCTATGAAACTACAATTGACCGTCAAGAGAGCACTGTTTCAATTGGAGACAGATGAGTTAACGATAAAAATCCTCATGCACCGAATTTCCTGCTGCAAATACCTGCTGAATGGTAACGAAATTGATTCAATTCGTTAAGCCGTAATGGCTAGTGCCAGTTTAAGCACTTACCAGGATTGATGGCCAGGAAGGGTTTCTGGAATTTGCTAGCAATTTTGAATGCAATTTTTAAAACATTTGAAGTCAAGGAACTCAACTACGGTAATGGTAGACTCAACTCTGATACTCAGCCCCGTTGTATTGATCTTTTTCGTTGTCCATCTTCCATGCGTCTTTTCACTAAGCAACTCAAATCAAAATGAAGTTATTTTATGCTTAATTTACAGTTCGGACTGTCGCCTTTCCAACGATATATAATATGTATTATCTCAACGATTCGAACGGCATCCAGCGGAATCGGGTACGAACTTATGCACTCATCCAATACTATTTATACTCCCTTTAAGGTTCAGAAAAAGGCGTTATTAAATATATATAAAAAACTTTTAATATTAATAATAAGTAGGTATATTTATGTATGTGCATAAATAATCTTTTCTCCTACATACTTGTATATATAAATGTGAAAACAAAGAAATCTCTAAAAACAATTCATAAAATTAATTACAATGAAATAAAAATTATATAGAAAATAATTAAAAGTTTTACAAAGCAACCTCATGATACTTATATATATACAAAAATAGTTCCTTACGTGAATATGGGAAAAGGGTTTCCCTGGATGTTACAAGGCAAATGAACATCATTGCCACGTTCCACATGAATTTCCATTACCGGTTTCTGGGTGGTACGAGGTGCCAGATTTTTGCTCAACTCTGTAAAAAGCATAAAGAGAAAGCCATTAGAGTTTAGTAAAGTAAATTTCACTTAAAATAAATATTTTCCTAACAACCACATTTTAATTTTTTTTGCCTGTAAATACTACAGTGGAGTTATTTTGAAACTTTTCCCTTAAGAGGTCGATGGTTTCATCGCTTGTGTGGCACAGGGCGACGTTTTGTTGAAAAAAATCATGAATCATCTCTCGAAAGCGCAATCCACTCACCGTAACTTTTACTCCAGCCTCATTTATCGAAAGGTCCTTTGAACCCGTTGGACCATTAACGGCACCAAACAGTTACACGTGGAGGATGGAGAGGCTTTTCAACAATAAATCTTGTTAACGGCAGGTTAATATATTTACGAAGCCCTTGAGCAGGAAATGGGCTTCATGGTCAAGATGATTTTTCATTGAATTTTTGGATCTCTTTTATGCAGTTCAAGGACCCAATCAGCTAATACACGACGTTGTTGATGATCGATCGGCTTGAGTTCTTGTGTTAACTGCATTTTGTATGCCTTAAGACCCAAGGCTATGCAAAATACGGCGAAATGACATTTGTGGATTGCCCAAGTCTACTGAACGACGAGTAATCGACAAACCTGGTTTTCCTTAGGCATTTTGGGCTACAACAGCAAAATTTAAAATTTTTCTCGAGCGACGTGCACATGCATTATCCTTCACATCACTAGCCTGATTTAACGACTGTATTTTTTCAAACAAATTTCTGTATTGCGGTCCGACAGGGTGCCATCTCTGGCAGGTTATAACCATGTTACTATTTACTACAACCTTTAACAATTTCAGCGCGTTGATGAAGCCTGTATCGTTCCATTTTTATTACCTGCGTAGTTTTGCTTGTCAAATATCAAAAATGACATCTACAGGAATATCCGGCTTTTCAAAATGACACCTCTTATTGGGAACCCTTTATATATATACGTGTATATGCCCCAAAGCTAAATAAATATGTTTTCATTAAAGAATGGATCTTGTTTCGCTTACCTTTCACCTGTAGCATTATGGCATCGCTTCGCTGCTTTTCACCGTTGAGTGTATTCGTGACCAGACAAGAGAATTTGACCAAGCTATCCTCGGTGCGCACAGAGCGTATGTAGAGATCACCGTGAGAGGAGAGTACTACATACCGACCGGCTGGAGGGCAAATAAAAGGTTACATTTTATGTTTATTTTTCTAATTATAAGTCAGAGATAAATAATAAATCTTATTTAAGCTTAATAAAACGAAAATATCAAAAAACGTGAAATGAAACGAAAAATTGGAAATGATAAAAAACAACAAATTGAAATAATATGATAATTTAAAATAAATTATTATAATTCAAAATAAACAAAATAAAATGAAACTTAAATTTATTACTTTGAAATAAAAATAAACAAAATGAAATAAAGCTTAATTTTATTTAAAAAAAATTATATAAATTAAAAAAAAACTATATAAATTAAGTCAAATAAAACAAACTAAATACAAAATATAATAGAATAAAATAAAACAAAACAATAAAAAGATGAAATAAAATAATATAAAATGAAAACTATAGAGTTAAATCATAATAAATTAAGTCAAACAAAAAATAATAATTAAGTAAACTAAATAATAGTAAAATTAAATAAAATAATATAGCAGGAAATAATATTAAATGGAAAAAATTAAATATAAAATGAAATTAAATAAGAAATAAAACAAATAAAAATAAAAAACAATAAGCAAATTTAATCTTAATAGTAAAAATTACGTCTAATAAAATATGAAAAATAAAAAGTTATTGCATATAACCCCAAAAAACATAGAAAAAGAGGAAAAAAGAGGAAAAAAATTAAAAAATTGGGTAATCTAAAAAAAAATAATATAATTAATATAAAAAAATGATCATAAACAATTTATTTAAAATTATGTTTAAATTTAAATAAAAACCGAACTAAATTCAAATAAAAGAATAAAAAATTTGAAGATCGAAAAGAGGAAAAATTAAGTTAATTTAAACGAGATAAGAAGAGACAATATAATAAAAGGAAATTAAAAAGGAAAAATAAAAAAATTATTATTTAATTGAAAGAATTAAAATAAAATACAATAAATGAAAAACAAATAAAAAATAAAATATAATACAAAAAGTGGAATTAACTTAATTAAAGCAAAAAACATTGACAAATATTTGCCATTAAATGAGAATTTTGTATGCTTTTTCATATTCATAACTTAAAAATCTCTTAAAGTGATTTTCACAAGTAAATCCGAAAATAACCGTCCGTCCGTTTACACCGTTAAACAGAATTGTTACTAATGGTAAAATCAGAATAGTAAAAATAATAAGAACATCACCAAAATTGACAAACATAGGCCAGACAAAGACAAACAAAAATTTGCGGGGTCAGACAGTTTTTGGCGAAATATTGGAACACATACACAGTCTGCCCGTAAATTCAACGGAATGTATTTGTATTTGTATACATATGAATACTTCTGTATAGGTATTGCCATAGCATAAAAACCGTTTCCCAATAAATGTCAACTACAACACATTTCCACCTGAATACACCAGAAAGCAGGGACACCGTAATGAACACGGATGCTTCTCATGGCCGTCTATATGTATGGTTGCTGCGCAATCGACAAGTCATAAAAGCAGAAGTAACAGCAGTAACAGCAACAACAATCACATGGTTATTCGTAGAGGTACCGTTAATAACCAAAAACTACACAGTCAGCAAATCTAATGAGAGGAAGCTAGGGAAGGGAAAAAACGAAAAGTGGCAGCAGTGAAGGTGCATTGGGATTCAACCGGAAGGCTTTTCATGCAAAAATATGGCACAACGGTTAGTCAGTCCTACCAACATAATCAAAATGATTATATACTTATGTATGTATATTTCTGGAGTGCCACTGCCCGAAAATGCATGAATGGTCAACTGAAATCAAAATGCAATAAATTTGAAAATACCGTGGCGATGATCTAATGGGAAATGTATGAACCAATATTTATATACAGTTATTTATGACACTAGAATACATAAATAATTAAATTTTTTTTCTCTTACTTACAAAGGAATCACGTGCAGAAGTCCGAGTAGGGATCACAACAGGAAATGCTCAGAAGAACTTGAATACAAAAATTTAGAGTAAAAGATGAGCGTCTCTTGACTTGCACAATATGCTACGAACCTGGGCACCTTAAGATACTTAAAAAAGCAAAAATTCCGCATTTGAGACAAAAAGCAACCTGAAGAGCTTCAAGGGCTACCATCTTATCCCGAAAAACTAACGGTGGGATGTGGTTTGCGGGCCGGTGGAAACATCGACCAATATTTCTTCAAAAATAATCCTCGTGAGAATGAATAACAGCAAGGGCAACCGTTATTGCGCCATTATAACCGTCTATTTGATGTCTGATTGTAGTGATCTCGCCGACATTCGGTTTCAACAAAACGGCGCCACTTTCCACACATAGCATTAATCAAGGGATTCATTTAGAGAACACTTCAGTGAGCAGATAATTTCACGTTTTGGGCCGATCGATTAGCCAGCATGATCGCATGATATCACACGGTTAGACTTTTTCAAGAGGGGATATGTACAGCCCAAATTCAATGCCTACAATTCCGTATATATAAACTAATATTGCTATTTAGAACCATCAAAGTTAGAGAACAATGTCATAAAGGCTCCTTATAACCGATTTTTGAATACATATGTTTAAGAAAGACCACGGCACTTTTTACTTGTAGTATTTGCCTGAAACAACAATTTATCGGGCCACGACGAAGTCAATCAGCCTCAACCGGTCTTATAGCGAATGCTGAATTTTAACCAAACAGTTATTTGGAATTTTTTAAAGCTTAAGAAGACCCTTTTGCCTCTCCGCGCTTCCGCTTTCGATCAAATATTATACCCTCGTAAAATTTTATAATTTGGGATTTTGCAATCTTAGAATTCCAATCTGGCAACTGAGAGTAAATGACATACGAGCGCTTTTTGTTATCAGAATAAGCCAAAGAGAGCCAAAAGAAAAATGGCGAATTCAATCGAGGTCGTCTAGGGCGAGTTTCGTGAAATTCTCATTCCGGAAATCTACGATATTGCAGGATCATCATGTGGTCTATCGTTATTTGGATACATGTATATACATATGTATATGGATAATATCGCATGCATATTTGCTTTTGAAAACATATAGCTCATATGGCATCCCACAGAATTTTCTTAATCGATCTAAAAGGACTCGCGACGATTGCTCGAGAGAAACTTTAAGCAAAAATGCGGTGCTTCGAAACACATCTATAACATAGTGCCAGGTGACGAATCGTAGACTTGACGGCAATCGTCAGTATGGGTGCTTAGAGAAGAGCGGAATCCAATTTTACTTTATCGTGCTCTTTTACACTTTACTCATATAATCAAAAGATCATCATGCTTGGGCTTTGAACAGTGCGAGCTTGCATTCGAGTTCATGCTTGAAACATTTCGAGCACAGGGCATTGAACAAGTATGCAAGTCCTCATTACTTTAATGCGCAAACTAATGGCGAATGTTCCAACATAATCTGGAGCTCTACCATAATCTCTGATTTTAAATCCAACGATGGGCGAGGCACACGTGAAAATGTATGCCTGACGTTTATGACGCTTAGGCCAACCAACATTTATGAAGCCCAATCAGAATTAAGCTACTGGACGATCTTTTGATTTATCCGTTTATTATTTAAGTCTCACTACACCATTTTGGACACCACGTTATTTCGTTAAAATACCACAAAAAAGTGCAACCGTCAGAGTTATGTAGATCACCAGTCCACCAGTCCACCAGTTGGTTATGTCACAGTCAACGCAAACTCGGTCATACAACCCAACCAAACAATAGGCACGTGGTTGCGAATATAACTGTGTCAACTGTTACGAATACATCAAGAGCAAACTATGCGCGACAGGCAGAAAAATGGAGAAAAAACCAAAACTTGAATGCCAAAAACAGCAGAGGTAAGCAAATGAAAAACTTAAAAACGGCAAAAAAGTGCAAGAATTGTAACTGCAAACGGTGAAAAAAACTCCAAGCGCCGTTAAATGTTTGGACGAGCATACAAATTTGCATATATATATATATATATATATATATGTATACAAACATATGGGTACATATGTATATGGACAATGCTTTGCATGTACAATACATATGTACATACATAAATGTGTGTCTGCTACTCACCAACATCTGATAAATCGGGCAGTAGTATTTCCTCGCCGCGATGCCAACTGGACACCTTGACATATGGTCGCACATAGTCCGGTATGGCGCACTTAATCAACGCTGAATTTCCCAAATAGACTTCGGTATTTTCCACGTGCACGTGAAATTGTCGGCGAACAACTGAAAAGGAAAAAGGGAAGGAAAGAAAAAAATCATTAAAACGTGAATATCAAACTGAATGTGAATGGTGAATTGTGAGCTGTGAGTTGTGAAAGACTATATAATTGCTTACCTACGCATATGTGCATACATATATATGTACATATATATTTATATATGAACATGCATGTGTTTGTTTGCATTTACGATAAAAAATTACATTTTAAAGACATGTATTATATACACATAGTACATACTCGTATATAAAAAATGTATATATGGATATATGAAGAATGTCACCATTTGTTCGTTGCTGTGAATGAGCAAATGTTCAAAATGCAAAATGTGACAGATGTAACTATTATATTTACATAGATATTTTTGTGCTTTCATTCAGCTGGTATAAACACATACACATACATATGCATATAATGTAAAAAGATTGTTGTGTATTATTCAATTTCCCACCGTTAAAAAAGTTGGCTATCTGTGGCAGTGAATATTTGACACTTTTACACAAATTTGTATACACAAAAAATATACATACACAAATATGTTTGTTTGTATGGCATTGAGTGTAGAAAGCTTCCAAATTAAATTAACTTGACTGCATTGATATAAATTGCATAGAATAACAGTTTTTAATCCAATGGACAGGTAACATAAACAAATAAAATTTTGTGATGCAGTCAAGGGCTTAAGCCCAGAGAGTTTATTTTATACAAAAACATTATGTGCGCCGATTGTATGCAGCAATCATCAAAAAATGTGCATTTTCAGCTAAATAATAAAAAATTATAAATTTTTGTAAGTTCAAAAACAATATCTCAAGCTAACGCATCAATTAGTTTTTTCATTATAAATTATGAAGGCCAAATAAAAAAGAAAAATGAGCTGTCTTTGATCAGGATAGAGTCTTAAACCTTTCCTGGCCGTATCAAATTCTTCTTTTGACGAATTCGCCCCCCCAAAACCTCACATCTCACGAAACCGCTTATATGGGGTCTAAATGTTATTTTATAAAACCCTCCACCCGCCCAACCGACACGAGAGACGACATACGTATAATGTACGGAATATGCCGAGTCATGAGTGGCAAAACAATTATTAAATGCCAAGGTTTAAAACTATTCAGCTACAGAAAAAAAACAGTTGAAATATATTAATTTAAGAATTTTAAAATTTAGTTGCTGTGAGAAGAGTAAGAAAAGTTTTTTTGTTGCTCAAAAGTGAGTCTGAGAAATCGAAAGTGTTGGAGTGCAAATTCAAATTATGACTTAATCGGCGAGAGGTTTTATTCAATTCATAATTTGACTTTAATAGTAAAGGCCTAAACTACCTATAAACACGAGTTGTAACTTTAAAGTTTACCCCAGACAAGATCCAGGAACTACAAATTGAGTCATTAAGGGGTTAAATAGGTCTTGATGGCAAAAAAAGCGTATTTTCTTTACTTTTTTAAAAGATACTAAATAAAAAATACAATTCATTTTGTTTACATATAAAAGTACAATATATAGACAACATTTGATGAAAATTTGAATGAAAAATAGTTTTGTTAAGGCGTTGGCAGTGTCGTGAAGTAGACCGTCGACAAGAAAGTGCTTTCGCGGCTGTCGTGATAAATTTTTCAATTTTTATCTGATATCAAAAATCCAAATTTTTTCTTAAAGTAGGTGAATTTTGATTGACTTTGAGTAAAGAAAAATTAAAAAAATTAAAAATTGAAATTTTTGTAGCGTTTTTTACAATAAAACGTTAGTTTTTGCATAAAATTAGGCCACATATTGGCTTGTAAAATGAGCTGAAATCTAAGACAAAATAAATCCTTCGTTCAGGGACTACAAAAACAGGCTCGATCGCTTCAATAGTCGTTGAGGAATTTTGACTGCTGATCTCGATAAAGTGGTTTTAAGAAAAACGCGTTTAAAGTTTCGCCATCGGTCAAGCTATGACAAAAACCGCGGGTTATAAAACTCTCTTATTTCTACAGTTTCGTCTCGATCGACTTGAAATTTGGGGAAAATATTCCTGATACTTTGTACTTTTATACAAAAAATTACAAAAAAAAATAATTTTTTGAAGATTCAAGACCTATGTAACCCCTTAAGAAGTTTCACTACGAGCAATGCAATCAACAGTTTTCCACGACTTGCGAGAGTATGTAGATTTAGAAGTTTTAACCCGTTGCTATAGGGAGTTCCATTGGAAATTGCTTCATGCATATAATAAAAACTGTTTTTGAACAGACTCCAACTTATCGGAATGAACTTGCTAATTGGTGAACCACTTTAGTGAACCACTTTAGTGAACCACATTCTAATATTGGGTTCACCAAGTAGTGTTAAGTGCTTTAGTTACATAAGGGTGACTATCTTTTGACAAAAGCAAAAGCATTCTTAGCTTCTAAGACAGTGGTACTGAAACGAAGATGGAACCTGATCTTTGAGTTCATCATAACTCCCAAATCAATAGAGTTGTACACTTGTTCTAGACTTAAGTAAAAGAAGAAAGTTGAAAAAGGCTTTGCGAATATCACATGGTCTTAAAAAGGGTAATCTTTTAAGAACTATTGGAAAGTTTTTCAAAAAAAAAAAACACAGAAAAATCGTTAGTACGGTCCATATAAGTTAATCTGTGAAGATTATTTAATGCAAATGACTGTGACTGCGTCTCAAATGGTCCATCCGCTTAGTCCAACTTTGGCATAATCTTTGCAATATTTCGGCAGGTATCTCACGAATAAATACTTCAATGTTGTCCTCCAATGCGTCCATTGAAACGGGCTTGTCTGTATAGACATTAGATTTAACATAGCGCCACAAAAAATTGTTTAAATGCGTTAAATCGATGAGGATCTAGGCGGCTAATTAACCGGTCCCGGATGCATTGGTAGCTCTGGCAATGCTTCTGGCTGATCTTCACACCAAAATCGACTATTCAGCTTACTTACGCACCCGTTAAGCTAAAAATGAACTTCGAAGCGCGTACGGAAGAAGTGTTGCAAGTGTTGTTCGTTTGAAAGACGATTCATGGTTAAATTATAGACCAAACTGAAGATGTTTGACTGCGATACAAAACCTGAAACGTGGGTCAGATTTTCAAACCTGTGTTACAAAAAAAAAAGCTCAGAAGTCACCCTTTACTTTTAGAGGTTGAAAGGCATCTCGTTGTTAACACATCAAATAGCTAAATGACTAGCACATTAAGACAAAAATAGATCCATTTGTCGAAATTAGTAGAAATATCAGGTTTCTAAGGGAGCAGCTTGCGGTCATTCGGACAGACAGATAGTGAGATGGAGATAGCTAAATCAACTCGGCTTGTCGTTCTGATCGTGTCAATAAATATTTGTATGGGCTTTTCTCTTCTTCTTCAGGTACTTTCATACCTTGGACCAAAAGTAATTTACCTTTTGATGTGCATGAAAGATATGAAAAGTCTAAAATTCTAATTGAGATAAAGCGAAATTCCTTACAGGGCAAGGAAGGGCAGATCTGGTGGCAAATTTGTCTCGCCCCAATTAGCCATCAACGTCTTGAACTGAAGTTAACCGCGTCGAAGTGAAGGAAAAGATGACGGAAACTTATGACTTTAGTTTCAGAGTAAAATATTTTGTACCTAAGTTTTAAAGGAATGAAATGCGTTGTTGGTTAGTTCGCTCCAGCAAAACTGAATTTTTTTCAAAGTATCAATAAGGGAAAGATCACTGAGGACATGCCACAACGTGTTGATTCCTAACCCAAATTTATTAACAGGGAGTTGTAAATATGACTCAGTCTGGGAATAACGTATATAATTGACTAACTAGGCAACAAGCTTCAGAACGGCGCCTTCAAACTGAGTCGAAGTGGAAAAAGACGCATCGAAGATGGTCTGTATACTGCCTAACCTTCTGAGAACTCTCAAATCACAATGAGGAGAGCTATCTCCTATTTCTCCCCGTTGTGATTTCGGATTATCTGTTTGAAGCTTTATAAGATGTTCAGCAAAGAAAATTCAAGGGAAAATTCAATAATAAAAAGGAAATTCATGGATTCACCTCTACAACGCACCATCGCATAAACCAATCATTATAAATCCACTTCACTTTCAAAAATCTACAGATACCATCGGATCACCATTGTAGACACTTGAAATGACTAAGGCACACATTTTTCGTTTTCCAAAACCAAATGGCTCCTTCCAAATGCCTTGAAGGACTGCCTTTTCCTTAACTTTCACCAGCAGGTAATGCAACAAAGACTTACGGAGCTAAAGAGCTTCCATCCATTCGGATGATATGACTTAGCCGGCCTAACCGCTGACCTTTTATTCGCTCAAACTTTGCCACTGCCACCGTGGAACTTGCACAGCTCATTGGTCCTTTGTATGCGGTATTCGCCGTTGCCAATACGCACCGGACCTCAAATCACTCGCAAAACTTTCTTCTCGAAGAATTGATTGATTTTCGCAAATGATGAGATGATGACAGAATTTGGGGTTAAATCGTCGAGAGAGGACTTTACTTTTCAAATACTTACTTAGGCCAAAGTAGCACCTACTTGGAAGAGTGATCTTGTGTTTAATTTCAAGCCTGAAAACTCTAATTATTTTAGCCAGCATGAAATTGAAGAAACGTCACTATAAACAGTTTCCCTGTTTGAAACCTCGTTTGGTACCGAACGGCTCGAAGAGTCCGTTCCCAAACCTGACTGCCCTTCTGGTGCTGTCAACACTCAGTGTATGCTGCGGTATAAGTTTTGCGGGGATAACTATATTCAGACAAAGCGGCCCAGAGACAGCTCCTTACTGTGCCGTCGAAGGCTGCTTTAACATCGATTAAAAGGTCATGTGTTTCGATTCTTTTCTCACGGGCCTATGCCAAGATTTTGCACCTTGTGAGTATCTAATCAGGGGCGAATGTAGAAGGAGAAGGGAGTGGCCGGCCAAAGATTTATACCGATCGGGTCTGTAAGTACGCAAACTAGTCCGTCAGTACTTTTTCCAGACTTGAAATTTCGGGTCATAACTTTGTTACT